TTTTGTCTGAACTAATGGACTCTTCTTATGGTTTACTGTAAGATCTAGAGCTGGGAAACAGACACTCACAACATTTCCATTAGTTGGTCCAAGTTGCTTTAAGTACATACCAAACATGGTGAAGGGGCCATTTCAGAAGTAACAGTTTCTGTCTCTTTGCCAGAATTTACTACCCATTTTTATTGCTTCTATTTCTCTATCAGCTAAAATCTGGAAGTGACTGAATACTATTCACAAAATCAGCCACAATTCCTTTCCAACCCATTCTATAACTCTACAACATACATCCCTAACGTGCTACCAGTTTCACCTTGTTTTAACTTTGCAGTGTAACAGAAAACAAGTTTGTATAGTATTCAGTCACCTGTCAGACAGCACAGGGAGGAGAGACAATCACCTCCAGCAGAGGGACAGGAATACCCTAAACACACATTTCACAATATGATCACAACCCTAAGTTTACTGGAAATAATTGAAAGATAAATAAAAATAAAACAAAAGACTTAAAGAATCTGCCTTAGAATAACTGCACCAAACAAAACAGTTACAATGTTCTCAACTGGATGGAATCAATTTTACAAAACTCACATCACACAGTCAGCAGCTAAAGAGCGATCTCAGTTCTGACCTTATGTCGCAACGATTCATTTTCCTCTTGTATGAGACTGGTCCTGAGACATTCAGCTTCAAAGTTCAGTATGACTGGAACTGGTAAGCAATGTTAAAGAAAATCAAGGTAATAACTTGCGTGCACCTTGCTTAATCCTAAAAGCCAGCACTCCACACTGGCCACTTACCTGTAAAAACAAAGCTGCCCAGTCCATACAATTAGCAAAAAGTATGTGCACAACCACAACATTAGCAACAGCTTAAGTAATTAAGTCAACTTTTCACTTTGCTGTTGCACAAACTATTTGATGTGGACTTTGCAAGGATTTTTAGATTATTTATTTTTAGAGTCAGAAGTGCAGGGCAAGACAAGTTCTATTACTGCTTTACTGTACACTGAACAGTTCAAGATGAGCTGAATTCCAGCTGCAGCATAAGCCTGCCCATCACCAAACAAGACAGAACTCTCTAGCATGGGGCTAAAAACTTATTCCTGCCAAAAATCAACTGCTCTATTATAATGAGCTGTCACTAGGCAATGTTGTGAACATAATGTACCCAAGGAAGGTTCTAACAGCAGATGCCAGTACAGTTATGGATTATGACCAAAGGCTGTATGACTGTTTTGTACTATGTCAAGAAAAGAGTAAAACCATTTCAGAACAAGATGTGCACACGATTTCTAGTCACTAGCATGAGGATGATTCAGCATCAGCAACAACCACAATTGTTTTGCCCAGGGAATACCACATATCATCAGATAATTCAGCAGTAACTATTCCAACATCCTCTGGCAAACACCAACTTTCTATTAAGTCTTGACTGTAAAAAATCACCTAAAAGCAGGAAGTTCCATAGTACTACATCCTTGGCATAACTGCTGAAAGTACACCACCAGGGTAAGGGAGATGTAACTATTAGTTGCAAAGAAGGATATGCATGCACTGAAATAAGACGCTCAGGAAGTTGTGCAGAGACACAATGAAGGTATCTGCCCACTGGCGTGAGAAATAGGTAGCAAAGGTGGGGTTGGAGTCTGGAGCAGGGAGGAAGGGCAGGACAAACCAATCCTTCCACTCTGCCTGGTTCTGGAGCTCGGAGGCCTGCTTGAGGAAAAACTCCTGCGCCTTGTCATTGCGGCCATTCTGAAACACAGCAAGAAGAACAGGGCTCACACTGTCATTCATGCCACCAGATTCAGTCGAGGAACATTTGCTTTTTGTTATGAACACAACTATTTTCACCACCCTGACACAACAAGTGGTTAGATACAGATTCACTAGGAAACAAAAGAATCCCAAATATGGTAGGAGAAGATCACAAATGTACTTAATCCAGAAGACTTCTTTCTAGTCACCACAATCCTGTTTAAAAGCTGAGACTAATCGAACCAAACACACTGATTTTAGTTAAACCAGTGCAGAGAGCACTAACATAAGCATTCATATACAGGACCAAAGTATAATTCAAATTACTTAAGTCTACAGCACATGCAGTTTGAAAGGGTTTCCGATTGATACATTATGCAGACAGGACTGTCACACTTCAGGGTAAGCACATGGCAAAACAAACCACGAAAAAGCACACTTCTAGTAAGATGTATTTGATTTTGACTTCTCCACTAACACCTTGATCTTCAGTCAGGGAATGGAACCAAGAAGAATCAAGGGGAGAATATACATTGACTTTCCAGGGTTTGAACAGAAAAAATCTCTTTCATTTTAAGCTCACACATGATTTTTTGTTCTATTCACAGCAAGCAAAAAGACATTCATTTTCTCTTCCACATTTCCTTGTTCCAGTTTGAACCTTGTGTTCTCTGCCAGTATCTAAGTTAACTGAGCAGGACTGAGCGAGCAGTACTGTTACCCTTTCTGAGGGAAACCTGTCTTTATGTGAGTGTGAATATCTTGCACCCAGCAAACTATGTTTCCCTGTTGCCCGAGTTTCCCTATCCTGCACACAAGCTTGTCATGTGAGTCTGCATCAAACTCCTGATCATGACACATGAACTGCAGGCCTGGCAGAGGCTCGCAGAGGCAGTTTATTGCTTTGGTTTCAGAGACCAGGACCTTTATAAAGCAGCCTAAAAATGAAACCCTACCTGGATGGCATGGACCAGGTAGTATCTGAACAGGCTGGTTTTCAGCTTGTTCACCGTTGGCCGGTACACGTCCTCCAGGCGGCTGAAGAGGCGTCGGTCCAGATAACTCCAGTAATCCCGCAGGGCAGCCAGGTCGTAGCTCTGCACAAACTGCTGCAGCTGCTCCACTATCTTATCCACCTAGAGAGGGCAAAACAGGAGCACTTCACTCATGGAAGGGCCCCTGGGGCACAAGACTTTCTGTAACTTAGTGCTGAGAAGCTTTGACTGTACAATCCTTATGCATTAGCCATTTTCTAATCCTGGAAACACTCTGCATTTTGCATTAGCAATCTTCCACTCTGCAGCACTTTGCAAAGGAAGGAAAAAGAAATATGACAGAGCATAGCCAAACAGCTTTTGACATGTTCAACATATTCAGAAGTATCACATTTTGTTGAATCCAACTGATGGATTTTTTTGCAAGCAAGCAAAACTTTCTACCTCCTTTAAAAGCCTGTGGAAAATAATCATAAAAAAAATAATGTGATTAAACATTTAAAATTCAAGTGCAGCACCTGAAAAAAAAAAATATTACTTTTAGACTAAAAGGAATAATATCTGCATTTAGCCAACAGAAAGAGGAAGTCAGTTCTGCTCCATTGCAATTTTTGAAGTACCTTTATCTTTAGTAACATCATCTACTAACAAGGCAAGCATAAAATTTTGCAGAAGAATATTTTTTTTGTCATTATGTCTCTTCGGAAATAATTTCTGCAATATGAATAAGGCAGAATGGTAGTGTGGGAATAGATTTTTTGTGCAGTGGTTTCTGATGGCCAAGACAGGCATCAGAAAAAGAAAAAACTGCATCCTGTATAAAATTAAACTAAGGTTGCTTAATATGTGGCTTGCTCTCCCCCTCATCACTTAATATCTTAGGACATACCCAACTTTTATCTCCGTGGCTTCTGGCAGATATAGAAAACTGAAGTTTGTGACTTCAGCAAACCCTTCTTGGGCAACAATTCAGATTAAGTCGCCAGCAAAGTGCGGGTGTTTTAAAAAATAAAAGCAACATGCTTTATTAATGATAAAAGTAGTGGTCATACTGCTGGTCAAAGAAAAATCTGACTGTTCAAAGCACTACATTCGAAGCCCAAAACTGTTGCTACAGGAATACGAAGCTCACATAATGGACTGATACTGGATTTTTGAGACTGGCAAATTCTGTGACGAGTTAGTCAAGGCAGCTGGTACTCAAGACATACAAACAAACGAGGGGAGCTGCAAAGCCGTTGGATAAAAATCCCATGACCGAGAAAAGACGCAGGCAAAGGAATGCCTTCCTGCCCTCTCGTTCCGCGGCTCTCCTCCGTTCTTCCCTTCTGGAAGCCGAGGAAGCGCGGGCGGGTCACGGGTCCCCAGCCGGCCGGGCTGCCCAGCGGGGCGGGGCGGCTGCCGGGAGCTGCAGCCCCGGCTCAAGGCAGGCGAGGGGATGGAGCCGCCGTGCTGCGCTGACGGGCCCCGGAGCCGGGCGGGAGGGGAGCGTTCAGCCCCGCCAGGACTCTGCGCGTCTCTGAGGGAGGCGGCAGGGCGGCCCGGGCGGCTCCGGGATGCGGGGTCCCGCCTGCGGGCCGGCCGGGCCCCGGCGCCCAGCGCAGCGCAGCGGGGAAGCGCGGAGGCTCCGAGGGCTCCCTCCGCCGCCAGGCCCGCTCCCTCGCCCAGCCCCCGGAGCGCCGAGAGGCGCCCGCGGCCCGCCCGGGGAGCGCGTCCTCCCAGGGGCGCACCCGCGCCCAGCGCCCCGCCGGCAGCGGGGATGCGCTCGCCACTCACCCGGAAACCCTTCTCCCGGTCCGCCTTGATTTCGGCGTCCAGCTGCTTCAGGGCGGCGGTGAAGCCGCGGAACAGCAGATACTCCCGCACCAGCTCGTCCGTGCGCTCCGCTGCCGCCGCCATGGGGGCCCCGCGGCGCCGCCGGCACCGCCCGCCCACGGCCGGGGCGGGGAGGGGAGGGGATGACCCGGCCCAGACCAGCCCCAAGCGGGACTACAGCTCCCGGCGTGCCTTGCGCGCCTTTTCCCTGCCCCACTCTCCACCCCGCTGGCGCGTCCAGCCCGCTTTTTTCCCGCCTTGTGATTGGTCGCCGCTGGGCGGCGTCTGCGCGCCGATTGGCCGCCCGCCACGTGCGGCTGGTGTTGCTCGGCGCGGGCGGCGGAGGCGCGGCGGCGCTGGGGGCGGGGCGCGGTGATTGACGGACGGGGTGATTGATAGACGGAGCGAGCGGGCCATTCCAGAGGCTCCCGGCGCGGCCCCTCACGGGCTTCCCCCGGCCGGCCCGCGCCTCCCGACCTCCGACGGAGCAGCAGGGGCGGGCACTCTTACCTCTGGGCTGTGCTTGCGGTCGGTAGCGAGGCAGGGGACATTAATCCCGTGGAAAGCCGGGAAGGGCTTTCCAGGCGAGCGCCTCAGGCTGTGGCAGGCCTGGCTGGGCCTGGATCTGGCCCTCTCGTGCAAGAGTATGTCTGGTATCGTTGCCCACACCAATGTGTCACAGTTTATTGGGAAAAAAAAATCCATGTTGTAAAGAAGCCTGTCATTTAGCACCAGGGAGCAGAGGAATCCTAGTGTTTTGTGAGCCAAGCCCTGGATTATTCCATGGAAATGGAACATAAATCATTGTAGGGAAGGGTGCAGGAGATGGGAGGCTGGGTTGCTGTTAATTGTTAGTGGTGAATTAGGTTTTAGTAAGTACTTAACAGGCAGGTATCTCTCAGGCAAAGAAAATATTTCAAACTCCATTATATTCTACAGAAAGATAAGCTTTTGTCAGTCAGCCAGATTTTTTTTCTTTTTGTCTATCCACTGTGCAGGCTGTAAGATTTCTTTCCCTTCCCTTAGATATTTATTCAGTATAAATAAATGTTGCATTGCAGCTTTCAACAGACACAGCTGGAGACTGTAGGAAGACACATGCCAAAGCGAGTCTCAATCCCCTGAGACACCTGCAAGAGGCAGAACACTGCATGGCAAAGCAGCACTTGCCACAGGCACACCACTGGGTTCCTCTGGCAAGACTCTTCAGCAGCTTGCGGGGAAGAGTTTTATCCCAGTCAGACAGCTGTGCCTCGAAGGTGCGAACAGTGACTCTTTCTGCATCATTGTTATACATGAGCATGTTCACACTGAGCCAGGCTTAGCCTCAGTCTCTGAGGATGATCACTGTGTCTTTGTGGGTGCCAGTATCTATGTCATTTCACTGTGTGCACCTTTCCTGGATCTCTTTATTTAAAGCTGCCAACTCAGCCTAAGCGAGTTGTCCAGTTTGTAGTGCTGGGTCATGAGTTTATCATGTGCCTTATCTTTTCTTACAGGCTTTTTTGCAGCATTTTTGTGGCTTTGCATTTTCTTTTATAGTATTTTGGAAACAAACCAAGGGATCCCATGATGAAGCTGATGTCACAGCATTTTGTTCTGAAATCAGAGCAGTGAGTTTAGGGACAGAAGGAATTAGGGGAAAAGTAGTAAGTCATTCAGCTTTATGAGGTGCACTCTGTCTTCATGACAGTGGAAAAATAAGTTCAGGAATAAAAACAAGCATCAGTACTGTTTCTTGGTCTCAACTAAAGGAAGAAACTATTTAAGCAAAATTGTTTATACAGATGAAATTTACTTGAAATACTACTACTGAAAAGACTAAAATTACCATGCTCGAGGCAGAGGAGCAAACCTCAGGAGTATCAACCCAACTCTGCAACTGATTCGTTTAGTTCCATTGGTTGCCTTCAGTTTTCCAGTTTGTAAAGTAGAGAGAGTAATGATTGTTTAGGACAGGAATTGCCCCCTGAATATGCTAAATCCCACTATATGTGGCTTGTGCCTGCTGAGTCCCTTAGCCCTCATATAGGTTGAGGTAAGCCTTCAGTTTGCCATGTTTGAGCAAGACACAAGCCAACCTGAAGTCAGCAGGATCCCCAAAGCCAAGATTATACAACAACTTCCTTTGCCTGGTCTAAGGGGGCTGTGTTCACTTGCCAGTCCTTGAAATTGCTTTTTCACAGTGTCTCATGCCCCTTTGTAACTCTTGGGAGCCAAGGAAGTTTAATATCTTTAAAAGTCTCAATACAGAAGGTTGCTTGTAATCCTAGTGCTTGGTGCCTGGCTAAAATACCCGGCATGGAAGCTCTGCAAGGTAGATATGGATGGTCTCACCATGCACAAAAATCCTGAAATATTTTGGAGATGTGTATGTTTAAATGCACTGGCCACATGTTTTCAGTTGTATTTGGTGTAGATGATGGAGGAATGATGTGCAGCACTGAAGTTAATCCTGTTAATCCAGACTTTTGCTAGGAGAAGCCTTTGCCATGTTCTGTGCTGCTGTAATCCAGGTTACAGCAATGTAGAACATGGCAAAGACCTCTCCTAGAAAAAGTCTCATGGGAAATCATGAGTAAAATCTTATGCCTTAAGTTGGTAGGCATCCAACAAGACTTCACAGCATGGTATTTCTGGATATGCTCCAAGAAGAGAACGATCCAAACAAGACCATTTGCTGATGAAAAAGATCTGAGTTAAGTAGCAAATGTCTGTGTGATGGGGTGTTATGTGTATGTATTGCATAATAGATACCCAAATATTTATATTCCCTATTGAAGTTTACTCTTTTATTAATTCTTTCCCCTTTTCATATGTATAAGGGTAGCTAGTGAAACAACACTATTTTCACAATATATTTTCACAGAGACATGGAAATTAATGAAGGTAAACATGAAGGAGAAGCAAAGCAACAAGGGCATGTTAAAACATGAATGTAGTTAGAGCAGAGAGCAATCAGTTCTGTTTTCTTCTTATGTTTAGTATCAGGTTTTGCGTAAGGCTAAGACATCTATCCAGAAGCTGGAGCAAACCTTGTGTTCTTTGCTGAAGATGAAAGGTAACTGTATGCAAGTATTTGCTTGGACAAAGAGCCTGGACTTGGTTTTTATGTATTTGTTAAATAGGGACAGAAGTACCCAGGAATTGTGCATTTAACCACAGCCAGCTTTGGGTTTAGTCATAGCAATAAGTAAGGGACAGTGAGAGGTCTGTCAGTGCACTGAGCACCGTATCTATCTCAGAAATCCCCTCTGACTCAGCCTTTCCCAGCCTAGGTGAAGAGAGGAAACAAACAATTCCTGCAATCCCCTGGCAGCAGGCCATCCAGCCTGAGCACCCTTGGCAGCTTCAGCCCAGCAGGTGTGGGGCTGGCATGGGTGCCCAGGCTGGATCCTTGGGCTCCACCCAGAGCCTGCTGCAGGAGCTGTGTGCTCCTCCTGGCCACAGCAGTGTGGCACAGTGCCAGTCACAGCTGTCACCAGCACCCAGCCCTGCCAGAGCTCAGACTGCACAACAGCACGCTGTGGTGTGGGGTAAAAGGATTTCCTAGGGTAGGAAATGGAAGCCTCTGAGTGTACTCTGATATAAATGGCTGAGAGAGATGCTACAGTTTTTTCTTTCAGCTTGGCAGGCCATCCCCATGCCCTGCTCTCCCACAGCCTGTGACACCTCGGTGACACTGGCCAGCAGGTACTGTCTGCACTTGTGGCAGCCCCTGCTGGGGGACTCACGCCCCCAAGAACATGCCTTCTGTTTAGTGCTGTGGCCACTGCCTCTGCTAGCAGCAAGCAGGACTAGGGGCTCATAGCACAGAGGCTTTGGACAGGTTTTTTTGTCCCTTCAAGTGTCCAAATTCCTGTCAGCTAGAAAAAAACCTGCTATTCATGTGACTTGCCCTTCCAATGATTTGAATCAATTAGAAGTCTCAGTGCTTAAAATGAACAACCTCATCTGAACCCACATCTCTGGATAACCCATAAAAGTGAGTCACAGGTAGAAAGAATAATTTGACAGAGCAAAGTTGAAAGGATAACAAGCAGGGAGGCTGGTTGAGGGGAGTTTGAAGCAAGCTTCCCCTTGTATGTACTTGCATATATGTAAAATCCATACTGCTTGTGAATCACAGGCTGGATGTCAGGGTTTTTGACATGCAATTTGTTCATTATAAGGTAACCAAATTCTGTATTGACTAGTGCATGCCCAGAGTTTGATTTGCAGGTTGTTTTCACCATCAGTTCTTTAAATTCAATGTTAGGAAGAAAGCATTGATTCTAAGTTCCTCAGTGTTCATAAACTCCCAGTAGTGCTAGTTGTGTTCTAGGAGAGACAGATGTTTCTTCTTTCACATCATTTTTGCCTAATGAAAAACTCTGGCTTGTGAAGAACCAGTTGTTGACAGTGTTCTGCTGGGTTGGGGCTGAGAGTGAGAGAGAAGCCAAAAGTGCCATTGATGTGACAGTGACCTTTCTGCTGACAACAGCCAGCTGCAGTCTGGAGGATGGGAGCCCATCCAGCTTGGAGGAAGTCAGGGAGGAATATGTCAGGAGGCAATTCGGCAGTCAGAGGTAAGGCTTGTACCAGCCAAGAAAAGATGATAATATTTTGCACTTGCTTCCATCCCTGCATCTCTGAAACTCCTTGTCATTGCTACTGTATTTCCAAGCAGAGGTTTTTCCTCATGAGGAAAGGGCAAGGAGGTTTCACCTGGACTGCTGTAATCCCATGGAGTGCACACACATTCTAAGCATGTTGTTCTTCTCATTGCCAGTCAGTGCTTGTATTTTTTCCCCTCCTATGTAGCTGATCTCTGGCAAGGATATCTCATTGCCTTACAAGCAAAAGGAGGAAAGGCTGGCTTGGGAGGAATGCCCCTAGGCTCTGGAGTCACCATGACAAGGGCATTATTAATCCAGTTGAGAAGTTATTAATGTCGTTTTTTTCCCCTTATGTTCTTTCCAGCACTACATCAGCCTCAGAAGAAATGAGTGAAAGTGACTCTGCCATCTGGTATTTGCTTCAAGAATGTGAAAAACAAACACTGGAAGAATATGAGAAGCCAGAATTGATCCAGTTTTCAGACACTTTATCCCCAGATCTAGTGGAATTTGAACGGTAGGTGCACCCCACATTGCCTTCAGGTTTTTAATTTGTTTGCAATTATCACTGTGCATCCAGGCACTGCCTTTCATGCTGCCCTTCTGGAGCCTGTGTCTGCCTCACAGAAGCCTTGTGCCAGCAACTTTGGCCCTGCTGGTGATGAAGCTGAGCACTTCCTAAGTCCCTGCAACTTGCACATGGATGGACTCCTAGAGTTGTAGCAGCTCCCAGCTTTTCAGGCCTTGGTAAATCCCTGAAGATTTTTCATCCTTTAAGAAAAGAAGAAAATTTCTTTCAAGTGTGTCAGTCTCTGTGTTGCCACACATCACCACTGTATCCCTGCTATGGGGATTTAGGAGGGTAAGAATTGCTGCCCCAGATGAATTTGCCAAGAGTCTGGCTGTATGTGTTCCAGGGAGGTGCAGGAACCAGAGGTAAGCACATTCTTTACCTCACAGGGATGCTCATCCTTCCTCTAATGGCATTGTTAGGAGGAGCTTGAACACTTGCCCCTTCCAGAAGCAGACCCTTAGCTCCTGGCAGCTTGGAGTACTTTTCTAGTGGGATCAGAGTAGGGTAAGGCTGGATTCAACCAAGATCTTACAGTCCTCAGCCTCTGGGCTGCAGAATAGGGGTTGTCTGGAAGATCCCAGAATGCATTCTACAACAATGCAAAATTGTCTGCAGCACTGGGGAAGGGGGGGAACCTAAACACTCCTGTGCTACACTTAGAGCCAGTGGATGTGAGTCTGTAAACCTTTTAAGCTCCTAAATGCCTGAAGCAGGACTTAAAAGTCAAAGACTACTGTTCTCATGTCAGTTGTCCATGTATTTATTTGGAAGTCATAATGGTAAAATTACTGGTTTTTTCCAAAGTTAGTGATGTCTTAAAACTGAGTATTGTACTCCATGTTCTTCCCCTTCCTGTCAGACAACATTTAGAGGTTTTATCCTGCATTTCCAACAGGATAAAGGATTATTTGATTGCCATGATATGAGAAATAGATGCATGTGCCATCTGTCCTATCCCATCAAGCAGTGAATTTCACCCTAACCATTCCAAGTTAACAGCATGCAGTGCAGGAGAACCCAGAGCTGCAGCGGGCATCTCTTCCATGGCATCACCACCACAACCAAAACCTTCTGCAGTTCCTTCTCTTTTGCTTTGAACCGCTGTGTATTTGTAAAAATCCCTTTGATCACCGGGTTTTTTCTCAAAAGGAGATTGCAGCTGGACCAGCAGATGGCACCAGCTTCCCACTCCTTCTCTGCTTTTGCTCCTGTTAGAATTGGAGGTGGCTGTAGTTAGGTAGCGTTTCGAAGACCTTGAAAGGTGCTGAATCAAGATTTTCAGGATTAGAAAAATCTGCTTCATCAAAGACTGCAGGACAGAGCCACGGACACCTGCCTTTCATGTTCTTTACTGACCAGGTAGACCAGGGCCTGTACTGTGTAGACTCTGGCTCTTATCCTGTAGTCCTAGGGCAGATTGCATGGGGTTTGTAGCTAATTCTTGTCAAAAAATGACTTTTATAACAGGGATAAAACGACAAGGACTCTTCAGCAAAGAAAGCAACAGCCTTTTGGTGACCATTTAATCAGATTATTTGGGAAGCATCAGAAATGCTTTGAGCTTTGGCTGACTTTTTTTTTTTTTTCCCCACGTTCAGCAGCAGGAGATATTGGTAGGACGTCACAGTACTCTGTCCAGTGCAAAATGTGATTGTCTCCTTCCAGCTGGAAAGGAAATAGCTGACTCATGCTTCAAGCTTAATTTCTTTAGCAGAGCAGTCTAATGGTGGTTCATGTACTTCTGCTTGAGAAATTCCAGGTCCTTTGTTTGGAGCTGGACATCCAGAAACCTTAGTGAGTGCAATACTTAACATGAGAGCACTTATTCCCCTTCCAGTATTTTGTCTCCAGCAGTGGTGGAAAATACTCCAGAGTGTGGAAACTTGGGTTTAAACAGGTTTATATTATATTTTCAACATTGGTTTGCTGGAACAAATATTTACAAATAAAAAAGAATTATTTCTTTTGAGTTACTTTCTCATACAATACAGTTCAGTTAATCAGGAAATGTGCTCATGTGGGAAGTCTTCCAAGGAATCATTTTGAGCCCAAACATAGCACCAATGACTGCTGTTTGTTTATCTGCTCTTGGTTTATACTCCTTTGATCTTTTTATTTTTGTCTGAGACTCTCTAAGCATTTAGTTAATGTAAAGTAACCTTCAGTGCTGCTTTCTGAAGTAGACATTATTATCCTGTGCCACACAGTGCTAACAGAAGAAGCAGGCTTGTTGTGAGATTTAGTCACTGGGTTGAAATTATTACCTGTGTTCCACCACCAGTTTCACTACAGACTGCATAGAAGTCAGTGTTGGATGTTAAATGGAGGAAATCGAGCTCCCATGGATAAGTCAGAGCATCCAGACCTGGGGCAGTGTCTGTCTGTCTGTATGTACAGTACCTAATGGATCAGGATACAGCCTCAGCCAGGGCTTTAAAGTGCAGTGCAATGCCAGTAAATGCATAAAAAGTCACTTGCAGTGCAAAAGGTTCAAAGGATACAAAGGCAAGTAAGTGAAAACGTATTAAATTCCAGAATGAGGTCTGCCTGTACAACTGCAGTGCCTGGAGCTTCTGTTGTGAGGCAGTCCTGCTGAGGCTGAAGCTGGAGCCTGGTTTTTGCAGGTGAAACTATCAGTGCTGGGCACCATTCAGGAATTGTGTGAAGTCTGGGAGACAGAGTCAGTGAAGTAGTTCTGGATCACAGCTGCTCCCTGGTGTCCTGCTGATTTTCAGCAGATGGCTGCCTTATAGCCTGCTCTTAAGAGATGCTCCCTTTCCTTTCCTTCCAGATACCTGTATTTTTATAAGCACACAGTGGACCTGCTGGTAGAGCATGGAATTGTTTGCACCGGAGAGGTGCCTCTTCCTGAGGTCTCCACAGCTATTTCCCATCTCTGGCAAGAGCTTTCTGAAGAGAGCAGGGACAGCATCTTGCAGTACTGTAGCCAGAGAGATTTCCTCATGGATCCCAAGGCTGCTCGCCCAGAGCCTGCTTGCACTGAAGGTAGTGTGAGGGACAGCGGAGGTAACAGTGAGGAAGCCAGTGGTTCCTCAGTCTCCACACCAGAGGAAGTAAGTGCTCAGCAACATTCATAGTCTGCCTCTGAAATTCCAAGCCTTCAGATGCTGATCGACTCTGCAGCTTTTAGTTGCAAGCATACAGTAATTGTAACTACATTTTCTCAAGATCATTGAATGCGTACATGGAGACAATAAGCAGTCTTTGAGTAAATACCTCTGAGATACCTAGTGAACTACAGAAGTGCAGTGGCAGTAATCCTGCTAGTCTCCACTGACTTGTGGAGTTTCTGTGCTAAGTAACAGTTCAGTTTGCCCCTACCTTGGTCCAGGGACAGGGAGCAAGAACAAGAACTACACAGTTACTGTGCTCTGCACACTCTCCAAAGAGCACAGATGATGTAAATCCAGAAGGGATACCTAGTTTGCCAAAGCCTCCTGTATTTTGGGTTGGGTGGGTTTTTTTCATCAAAGCACTTGGTAGCAAAGAGAAAGTATTTTTAGACCAGTCCCAGTGGTACAAGGCCAGTGACTGCCTGTACCATGCACCTCTGCAGAGCCAAGAAGTCAGTGACTGAGTAGACCAGAGCATTTATTAATAAGAGATTGAGTAAATAACAGCCAGTTCTATCAATGGTTGCTGGAGCAGTGATTGCTGAAGTAAGTAGCTGCTTGAAGAGGTATATGTAATTTGATTAGCTGCAAGGCAGGGACAGATGTTTACCTTTAGCATGTAAGTAAATGGCATTGGCATGTTCTTTTTGAGTCACAGGACACAACTGATATTGCTCATTGCCTCAGGAAATGTCATGGAATGTTCCCTGTATGGGATTTCTGGCACAGAGAGTGTGTGAGCTGCATTATGGCAGAGTGAACTAATGACTTTAGTGGTCTGACATAAGGAGCATCCAAACTCCTTTGTCTAACTGGAGTCAGTTTTGGAGAGACTGAGATCTCCAGCCATAAGCAGCAGTCCACAGTTGAGTCTCTAAGGCACTGATACAAGTCATGGTTTCCACTGATTTTTTTTTTTTTTTTTTGGAGATGTAATGTGAAGTCTAATTCCTAGAGGTTGAAGCACAGGCTTAAGGGAGTGGACTGACCTTGTGCTCCTAGCCATGAAATACAGTTATTCCACATTATTCCTGCCTCCACAAAATCTCTTGGTTTACTCTAGCTGTAACCATACCTGTTAAATGTAAAGAAAGAATATCATGCTTTTAAAGACTTCATTATTAAAAATTATGCCCTAGGTAAAACTTTTTAGGTGGCTGGATATGCTGACATCTGAAGTGCTTTCTCTGCTAGGTGATGTTTGAAGATGCATTTGATGTTGCTGCTGGTTTCCTTGACAGAAGCAAGGCTCAGGGATTGTCCAGCCAGAGGTAAATTACAAACACCCCTTTTGGCAGACACAATACATTCATAGCCCACTGTCAGCAGTCCATGGCAAGTGCTCTGTGGAGTGGGACAACAGCTCTTTTTTAATAAGTGGTCAGAATAGCAGCCTCCAGCAGCTGTGCTCACAATAATACTTCCTTCTAAGGGGAAAAAGTGAAACAACTAATGGTCATTTACAGCAGAATCAGTAAGAATCACCTACTGAGAGCCCCATCACTTCAGGATAACTGGGGTCCTTCTGATTTTCCTTGCACAGCTTTCTGTCTTTTCAGTTTACAATACTTGTAACGTTTTCTTTTTCTCTCTCACTTACCAGGCCTGTGAGGACCAAGAGCATTCCCTAATAAATCAGTTAATCATAAGCCATACTCTCATTTAATGAAACAAAAATGATAATTTTTCAACATTTTCTCCCTTGTCTTACCCTAATTCAGTCACACGGAGGTGAGCAGGTTAAAGTGTGGTTGACCTGAACAGTAACACCAAAGAAACACAGAACCTTTTAAATAATAACATCTCCTTCCTCTTCAGTTCAGATGAGTGACCTAGAAGAGAACATGTCAGATACAAAGCTGGCACTGCCTTTGATTTTTCCCAGTAGACCAAAGAAAGAAAAGCATTGTTTTCCTCAAGAGGAAAATCACATTATGATTCATCTTTTATGTATTCTTGCTACTTAGTCTTTGTTAAGATTGTTTCTCTTTGCAAATAATGTTTTTAATCTGTGGGGGTTTAATCCCATTTTCTACTTATTTTTCAACATTTAGAGTGATATTTAATGTGAATCTCTTCCTTTCACCACTATTCCAGATTGCACTTCCAGAAGGGAATAAATTAAAATAAGGTTGTTTTGGCTGATTATCAAAATATACTTGAAGGGATAAAAAACCTTAATAAATATTTATTTATTAAATAACATTTATTAGGTCACAATTTCCATTTGCTTTTAAAATAAGATTAAGTATTCCTTAATACTGCCAAGTATTGCTATAATCTTTTAAATCTGTTTTAGGTCCCAAATCAGTTTGGTATTTCAATAGTCAACATTTGTTTTCTCTTTCTTGCCTGGTGTTCTGCACCTTGTAATTCTGGACAGAGCTGTGATGGCAGAACTTTGTAAAATCCCAGGAAGAATACAGAGGTGAGGTCTAGAATGAAAAGCTTAGCTTTGTGCCAGTTACCTGAGAACACACCTGCCACTTATAGCTAACATGTCATTTCATCATCACAGCTTACTGCATTCACTCAAAAACTTTACAGAAGTCAGAGCTGTTCTTCTGAACAACCCTACCAAATACACTTCCAGATAACCATCGTTGCTGGCTGTTTTACATGGATATTTCTTTTGCCCAAAACAGTGTTACCATGCTGTAATGTATCAGCAGATCTCCTTGTTGTGACACCTGTTCCTTGTATTTCTGTTCTCTCTTCTTCCATATCTGCCTTGCACTGGGCAAACAGCATCTCATCAATGCATCCATCACAACTCCTCCCTGTCTTGCTTGGCTATTTTCTTTAATATCAGAACCATCTTGAAAACAATTTGAATTTTTTTTATTTGTAAGTAAAATATGGAGGAGAGAAAGTAAGAAGAACAGAACAGAAAATTAAATACGGTATCTGATTCCATTTTCAGTTCAGCATTTGCAAGCTGCACTTCTGAAAATCCAGAGGATCACCAGAGACTCTATGTGCAGGTCACTGACTTCCTAAAACACCTCTTCTTCACTAATACACAGTTTTGCCAGGTAAGCCTTGCCAAAGGATTCCTTACAGAAGGAGCAGTGTATTTCAGAGCAATGTATTTCAGGAGCTATGTCAGAAAGGGATTTTTGTATTCAATGTTTCTGATCATATTGTCCAGAATGATCCCATAAAGAACTTGGGGTTCACCATTTTAGATGTGTCATTCCAAAAGGCCAGTAGGATTGCCTTTGTAAGAGGTTAAGTGTGAGTGAGCACTGCTTTGAATATTATTCAAAATGGCAAATGACATGAGGAATTGTAAATTATTATTATTGTTTGCATGAAAGTTCCTTATAGAACAGCTTGAGTGATCTCCTCTGAGCAGGTTAAGCTCACTTTCCAGCTCTCCAGCAACCCCCAGCTGCTTCATTCTGAGCTCAGCAGAACCACCACCTGCTTGTCTGGGAGCCAGGCTCTCTGCCCTGAGCCCTCCACTGGCAGGCCCTAGGAGCAGGATATTCCTGTTCATGAAAGAGCTGATGAAAAGCTCCTGAGCTTCCCCTTAACTTCAGCCTACTGTTGCAGGTTTGCTGAGCCAGAAATCTTTGTGTTTGCATTGTTCTTCCTCCCCTTCTTGTCTCCCTGCCATGGAGGTGGCTCAGAGCTTGCACTTGGGTAAAGAACTGAAAGGGCAGAGCTTGTTCTGGTTCAGAGTCAGTGGTGCCTCCACAGCAGCCATTGGTTTGCTGGTTTCTGTTGCCCAGATCCCACCTGGTGTTTGGTACTTGAGCAGATGCTCCTCTGAAGGAAAATAGAAGGTTTGTGATGAGGGGTAGTTGAGACAGAAAACAAAGCAGCAACTGGTGTTGCACCACTGTCTGAACCGGTCACAGAGAGACTGCTGTGTGCCCTTTGGTTCCCCATCCTGGAGAGAGTAGCACTAGAGAAGGTGCAGAGAATGGCAGCAAGCACAGGAAAAGGCATTGAATACTGTCAAGAGTAGGACTTTTCTACAAAAAGAAAAGACTGAGGGGTACTGCAAGACCATTTTGTTCGTACATGGTGTGGATGCAGTACACAGAATGATTACTCATTGTGTCTAACACTAGAAGAACTAGAAAGCACTAAATAAAATGAACAAACAACACATTAAAAATATTTGCACATACAAATTACCACATTTAGACTCCAGGGTCATCAATCCATGGGCAATTACTAAATCTGAAGGTCCAGGTTCAATACCCAGTGCAGGAGGGCCTCACAGCACAGTCTGCTATAGTGTACAAGTATTTTATTGTAAAACCAAGCACACTGTGTGCCCAATTATTGCACTTTTTTCAAAACTTCCCCTGCTGGCTGTTGTCAGAGACCAGGCACTGATCTCCACGGCCCTTTGGTCTGGTCTGTGACTAGTTATGTTCTGTGTAAGAGCAGAGCTCTTCTTGTGTTTAAGTAAATGACTATGAGCTCAGCAGGCCTAGAAAAGAAAGAAAAGCTATAGGCAAGATAAGGCATTTTCTGGTTTTAAATTTCTTTTGTGAGTGTCGTGCCTGGCGTAGTCTCATCTTGTCCTTCTGCTTGGGGCTGCCTGGTTATGTGTGAGCCCCAGTCCATCTCACAGCTCCCAGATGAGGTGGTATGGGAACAGGTAGTGTCTCTTTCAAGGTTTAAAGAGGAAGATTCAAAATAAGACTGGGAGGGATGGGAAGACAAGCAGCAAAAGAGCCCAAAGTACTGCAAATTGGCAGTTGACTGTACTATGTAGATCCAAAAGGAAATAAAAAGCTGCAAAGGGTTCTTTTACACAGGAACTGTGATAAGACAATAAAAAGGGAATTTGAGCAGAAATCATCCAGGCCAGATAATATGAAGGTCACAATCTGTTTTGATTTAGAGTGCAGAACAACACATCTAGACAGTGCTGCCAAGAGGCAAAAGAGTAGAAAAAGGAAAATATGACTGACAAGCTATTTTTTGTTTTGAGAGCAGAAATTCGGATCCATCTCAAAGCAAACAGATTGAGACAGTTATGAAAGTGGTTGCAGAGCAGGGATAGAAGATGTTCCAGCTAGCTTGAAACACACCAACTCAGGCAGCAGCAGAGAGATCAGTATAGGCTACTCACCTTCCCCCAGAAATTGGGCTGCTCAGAGCATCAGAGACTGCTGGACTTGACAGGGAAAGGAACCCGTCCTGCTTCCCTTACCAGACTGAACCTCTGCAGACCATTCCCCTTCCCTGTGCTGGTGCCATGCTAGCACAGGAGTTTGGGCAGTGCTGGCACAAATTATCTCAAGGATAAAGCAGTGTCCCAGTACACTGTGCACACACCTTGTAGGAGATACAGAGGTGGGTAGCAAGTACAGTAAGTACCAAGGTAAGGCATGTGATGGGACCCCACTGAAACACAAAAGGCAGTCCATGGTCTCCTTTCCTTTCACCTGCAGAGCTGATGAGGTGATGGATTTTATTGCTGGTCATTCATGGCACTGCCATGTTCTGTCATTTCTGGTTAACTGTGCAGGTACAAACTGCAGCTCCTGCTGTTGGACTGTGGATGGTCACAGCTACTGAGCACAGCTCCTCCTGAGCCGCTGCCCTGGCTCTCAAGGCTGCCAGGGGCTTGCACCCCACTGGAATAAAAAGCTTCAGAAAGACTCACACAAGAGGAGAGGGGAAATAATTTGGACAAGGAAAGGGAGAACTCTTAAAAGGGCAGGGACCCCAAAATGAGAACAGGAACATGCTTCTACAGTATATGATAGAGAAATATTTCTGAGCACGAGATTAGTTAAGCAATCTTGTAATTTTTCAAGAGCTGTTGTCTTAAGGTCACATCATAAGAGAAGCTTAGCAGCAAAGGCAATAAAGAGTTAATTTAGACTGAGATCCAAAGGTTTTACCTAAATGAAATGCAGTGGGGTTTTTTTCTGAATAGTACTGAGCACCTTTGTGTCTTCAAAGGCACACTTTCTTTTAAAATCATGGATTTTAGATGAGTCCCTTGACAAGCAAGTGGTATTTAGTGCTTCTTAAGCTATACACTTTCAAACAGCACCTATTTTTAAAAGCAGTATTTCACTGAAGAGTCTTGCATCAATGCAGAAGGTGGACTAGATGGACTGCAGGCATGAATACTTTTATCTTCCAGACTTTGATTTCTCAAGAGCCACTTGTTCTCTGTAAACTGGTGAAAGAGAAGACCCTTTCCTTCTGTTGCTAAAAGTGGAGCAAAGCCTGAAGTTGGTAGAAGTTAAGGCCTCAAAGATGCTGTCATACCTTCAGAGCCTGTTCTGTGTCAGACTTGGTACCACAGTCAGTAACAGCTGTCTAGATGATGTAAATAGACAGAGGGTGAAGCCCAGTGATTTTAGAAAGAAATTGGCAGAAAATTTGAGCCTTTCTTCATCAGGCACCTCAGGAACTCATCAAGTGCTGGTGGCTGATTCAGAGAGGAGGGAGGGCTCATGCTGCATTTTCTGGTACATCAGCTCTTGACCAAGTCACTGTAGATTTGAAATTCAATGAACTCCCCTGGTTTTTAATCCTGCTTGACTTTGGGGGGGCTTTCAGGAAGAAGATCTTCACTATGATCATGAGACCGTGATGCTGCGGTGCACGGAGACCTTCGATGATGAAGATTTCTAAGCAGTGTCTCCAGCAATGTTTTGCCAAGCCCTGCCAGGTACACCAGGCATGGGAGGAGCCTCACCTCTCTCAGTGAGCTGCCTCTCTCAGCAGAGTGTGGAGACACTGTGTTGGTTTGTTATCATTGATTTCTCCTTCCCTCATTAGTAATTCTTGATATATCAGTTGAGTAATTTATACTTTTTAAAGGTTTTAAGGGTCTTAGCTATTTATTAATATATGTTTTTACCCATTGCTATTTAATGTTTAGCCTTGCTTCACAAAGAAATGGAGGCATGTACAGTTATGTGACCTTGCCTAGCCTAAGGTGTGGGAAGAGCAGCAGGGAGGCCAGATCAGTGGCAGTCTGCACACTCCCACAGGATGCAGGTCTCAAACTGCACCCTGCAAAAGTCACCTCCTGGCAGTGATTATTTTTCTGGTGCAATTTTTCATCTTGGGCTCATGAGGAAAGAGGGATTTCCTCACAGAGAGTGGAATGAGGCTCTTCTATCTCTTTATGAGGACAGCTGCATTGAGCACCCACTCCCCAGTCACCCAAAAAAGTGCGGGCACAGTAATACACTTTGGATTATTTACTTTTGTGAAGTGTGTAAAGCTGAGTGATCAGCCCTGTGCTCTTCTTCCACATCTAATTCTTGGATGAGTAGTGCTGCTCAGATAGTGTCTTGGAATTAAAAGTCCTGTGAAATTGAATAAAGTCCTTTACATCTCTGAGTTATCATTAAAGGCTCTCTGCAGACTTGAACAACTGTATTCTGATAGTGGTTATCTTGAGGTCATGCTACCAGCCACCACAAACAGAAAGGATGGAAGTTTTATTTTAAAACCTAAACTAAAGCTGCTGTGCCTAGCTGTCCAACTTCAGCAGCCAACTTTTATACTGAGTCCGAGAGGCCTGGACTGTGGCCCAGCATTGCCTTGGTGCATAAAAGCATGATACATTCAGGCAAAAACACGTGGAGCTGAGAACTGAAGTACAAGGGAGGAATAAACACTACAGAGAGCTTTCTGGCCCTGCAGCTGAGGCTGTGGTGGCACTCCCAGATGAGTGTTTGTCATACTGCTGTGTCTGAAAGTGGGGTTACAGGGGTCCTGTTTGGGTTTAAGGGCTCTTCAGAGTTCTCCAGGGTGCAGCCTTGCTATTCCCTGGCCTTCCCAGTGTGCTTCATTTAGACATGCTGGCATTGCTTTGAGACCAGAAGCATTGTGATGACATTAAGGGGAAGATGAAGAACACATTACTTTGATCCCTTCTCTTGCATGATCACAGTTCACAGGAGTGCAGTGATTCTTTGAATACCTGCAAATGATTCTTTAAATACTACCTGCCACCACTTACTCCAGCAACCACCCTGAGAAATACCATTACAGTGTATGTGTTATTATTTATTATACTTACAAAAAACAAGTATTAATCTCAATGAAGGAAACACAAACTTATGCTACAGCAGTAATTTTATTACACAGCACCAGGAACCACAGGACCACATGTGATCACATTGCATGTGGCCCTACAGGTTGAGGCTAATAGGGAATAGGAGCAATAACCTGCACACCTGTTTTCCAGAGAAGTGCTTTTCACCACACTAGACCAAACAGGTACAGCAAGGGTACACAGGACACAGCAGCAGCATAGGGATGTGTAAGATTGTGAGCAGAAGTGCTTTCTCCATTATATTTGATGAGGATTCCTTCATCTTTGTAAGGTTGGGTGCCCGGCCTGTTTCTCCTGAGACTCCTCCCAGCACTCCGAAGGTAGGATACATTTCAGTAAGGCTGGTATATTCTGTTAGGTTAAGAACCTAACTAAGGTCTCTAGAGCCCCTCTGTGGTCTGAGGCAGAAGAGACAGGTTCAGAAGACAATCCATCCCATTAATTTTAGGTGCCTCTCTTACAACAACATTCATTTGACTGGCTAACTGATGGGAATTTGGAATGAGATGAATCATGACCTAGAGGCACCTGCTCCTTCCCCTCGGCCAGGATGAGGTATACAGCACAAGGTGAGAGGTGGGTGTTGCTTTAAGGTGCTGGGGATTAACCCCAACCCAAGGGATGCCTGAGAGAAGTGCAGGGCCCATGTCAGGGAAACTCCTTCAGCTGCCACATCAGGGGACAGGAAGCCCTCCTGCTTGAGCTGAGCAGCTGCCCCTTAGGGTGCCCAAGGGTCAGTGCAAGAAGGAAACAGAAAACCTTCCCTAGGCACTTCTTGGGCTTTGGTGTTCCCCGAGGAGGGACCAGGTTCTTCCTACAAGTGAGCAGGCAGGAAGAGAGAAGGAAAAAATTACTTCCTCAAGGCTATCAGTGGTGCAGTCAGCAAAGCTGGGAAGAAGAAGACATTATCCTTTTCCTGCTCCCCCCTCTAACAGCTGCCAGCTCACGCTCAGACGATAGGGGCTGCAGACACTTTCAGACCTCTGTTTCTAGGATGAGTTCACTTGCAGGCGAGGTGCTTATATCCTTGTATCAGCACTAATTGGTGCTGATTGGTGTATCAGCACCAACCTCAGAGTTTCTTTCTAAGCTTGTTTCAACACTGGTTTTCTGCCTAGCAGCCTTCAGTTCATCCATTCTCTTGTCCCAAGACAGTTTTCTGGGGCAAGCAGGGAGATAGCGAAACCAGGAGACATTGCAGTATCTGGTGCCTATGCCAAAGGGAAGATCATAGACCTTGGAAATGAGCTGAGAGCTCTCCATCCCTCCCTTGTGGCTTTGCTTCCATGCCAGGAGCCCCCGCTCCTCCTGTGTTCCTGCAAGAGCAAAGTGAGGTTGTTGTGTTTAAAACAGCAGGGCTGCTTTGTGTGCCTCACACCCACTGCTCAAATCCCAGCACACCCAGCACAAAATACAAATCCCTTCTACTTAAACCCTTCCAGCTCCAAAGAACTCTACAAATATTCACTAATGAGCTTCCAGACAATAACCCTTTTCCTGCAACAGCTTCCAGATAAGCAGCCTTCTCCATGCTTTCCATGGGAATCACATATACCAAGAAGTTTTCACCTGCCACAGGAGATCCAAGAACTGTTCAAAGGGGAGGGAGGTTCATGCAGTGCTGGCAAAGCAAGGCTGGATGTTAACTGCCCAGACAGACACTTCAGAGCAGCAGTTACTAGTCACTCACAGGTATTTACCCTAGCCAAAGGAATTCCCTAGTGCCTGTGACTGCTGTGGCAGCAAAGAACCTCTTGGGAAAGGGACTGATCCTACCTGTAAATTCTGCCCAGAGGAGCTGATGATTGAAGGCTGCAGGAAAATTAATGAGCCAAAAGGAGGCTGGCTTTCTGAGAAGCCTCATACAGTAACAAATCTGGTAAACAAAAAGAGCACCCTTTCTTCCTGCTCTTCTCCTGCAGCAGAAAAGAGGGTTTCCTCTCCTATTCTTATGCCCTCCCTCCCCATGCTAGATGAAAATCCAAGGCTCTTTGCTGCCTGTGAGGGCCAGCACCAGCCTTTCCTACTGCTTTCCACTTCTGTGGCTTTAGTTCAGCTTCAGTTTTAGCAGCTCCCATGCTGGCACACGTTGGCTCCTTCCACTTCTTATAGCTGCCTTCCTCTCCCCTTTTAACTAGCAATATGGTTTTAGGCAGGCATGTTCCCTGAAAGATGTTTGCCAAATAATCCTTTTCTTCAGCCTGGGTTCTTCCTGACAAATTATTTTATTTTTGATAAGCTGCTGTTTTCCAGCCAGACCATTTCAGTGATGTCTCCTGTTCCCCACCCTTCTCTGGGAGGAGTGCAGTCACACGGTATTTCATGGCTGCCAACACAACTCCTTTCCACAGAACAGGAGTCATGAAAATAAAAAGTACCAGGGAACAAACCCTTGGACAGGCACAAACTACCAGCTCATTTGAGCAAATCTTACCTGGAATGGTGTTATCCAGGATAAATGCCAGAAATCCACCCACAAACATGCCAGTGGTGAGAAGCACCAGGATCACTTGGTCAAGCTGGATGATTCCTAGCAAAAAAAAAAAATCCAAACCTTCGGATCGTGGTGTAGGAAGAGCATTTTACCTGTTTTACCAGCAACATTTCTGGTGCCAAGAGGCTGCAAGCTGCATGCTTGCTTGGACTAGGCTTGCTTGGATGAGACTTGCAAATCCAAAGCAGAGTGTAGATTTGGAGTGGAAGGGAGAATGATCTCACAGCCAGTTTCAGACCTATCATTTTATTCTACATGATTATTCACAGACTCACAGTGGGCAGGAAATGGCTCATAAATACACTGAGAGCTTATGAACAGTGCAGACCCCAGCACTGTCTGAGAAAAAGCCATCTTCTGCTCCAAACACATTCAGCACCTGCACAACATCTAACAGCTCCCTACAGAGCACGAGCTTCAGTTCCCAAAGAAATGTGAGTATATTTAGCATGGGATTTCAGCACAAGCTCATCAGGTGTGATGTCTCCCCTTGAGGATGGCCATGACCAAAGCCCAGTGGCACTGAGCATCTGACAGGACATCTGCAGAGCATGGGGTTTGTGGGCCCAGCTCTTTAATCAGCCCACCCAGCACACCACGTGTGCTTTAGGAGAGGACACTCTGGCCTTTGTGAAGAAGACATCAGTCACACAAGACACAGTGAAGGGCCAGCTGATGGAGAACTGAAAATTTCAATAAAGTGAACTTGATGGAATTTGGTAGAGGAGTATGCTCTTGCATTTTGAAAGCACATCATTTCATTGTGTATGAGCACATAAGAAAGCCTCAATCATTGACAACTCAGTCACTGACCAAAAGCAGAGATTTCTGCACCAGATCTATGCATCCAGGGCAAAAGGCAAAAATAGCCCTCAGAAAGAAACAGGCAACAGTCAAAGCACAGATTTCAGCGTTTTATAAGGAAAAAACTATTTTAAAAGATTTCTCTGATCAGCCTGTCCTTCCATTTCATGCTGCAGAAAATGCTTCTGATGTCATTTCTTACCTGTTTTCAGCAGAGCACTATTTTTGCTTGCCCAGTTGGGAATTGTGAGGCCAGCAAATAGAGAAAATCCAAAGATAAAGATGTTTCTTGAGGAGTTCATATCTGTATACTGCACAGAGAAATTTCATACATTACATGCACAAAACTCTGGATTACTGTTGTGTTCATGAGACATGGTGGGATGCAAACTCTGGAATCAGGAATGGACCCAGCCCTGTTGCTGCTGGGGCATTTGTGTTCCTGCAGTCCCCAGTGCCAGCCAGCCCTGCCCATGCCAGGGAGCCCTCTGGGATTCAGCCCCTCTGGGTACCTGAGGAATTACCAACATAAATGTTTGCATTTGCTGCAGTGGGGTTATAGCTGACACACTCTGTAAGAATCTGACTTCAAACTAAGGGTGCTGTATGCAGTTTTGGGCACCACAATATAAGATATAAAGTGATTAGTGAGTGTCCAAAGGAGGGCCACGAGGATGGTGAAGGGTCTGGAGGGGAAGCTGTATGAGGAGCAGCTGAGGTCACTTGGCCTGTTCAGTCTGGAGAAGAGGAGACTGAGGGGAAGCCTCACTGCAGTCTGCAACATGAGGGGAAGCAGAGGGGCAAGTACTGATCTCTTAAATCTCATGACCTGTGACAGAAAATGGCATGGAGCTGAGTCAGGGGAGGTTTAGTTTGGATATCAGGAAGAAGCTTTTCACCCAGAGGGTTATTGGGCACTGGAACAGCTCCCCAGGGAAGTGGCCACAGCACCAGC